TAAACTTGTAATGTACTTTACAGAAAAGTAAAGCTATCATTAGAAACCAAAAGACAAAGCATGAAGCAAAGTACTACAAAACTCATCTTGGAAAAATAAAGAAAGAAAGAAAGAAAAAACTCACAAGAGCTGGCAACAAGAGAATTAGTTGGGCAGGCAACAAATCTGGCACTTTACGGATAAAACTTTAGGTAACTCAAAAAAGAGAATTTTTTCTCATTTATAAGCAGCAAGACTTATATTCTCTTGCAGTCAGACCATTTAGGGAGTGAGTGATTAAGCAGGAAGGCTTGCGAAACAGCACCATTTTGCTTCAACTTCTGTTTGGACGTTTTGATGGGAAAGCGTTTCGTTTAGAGTTTAGTTTCATTTCAAAAGGACTGTTCTGTTTTGTTGAAACAGTTTTGCTGTTTCAATGCTGTTTCAAGTTTTGCCCACACCCCCGAAGGAGACAGCAGAGCCCTCCTGGGGGTGCTGGCAGGAGGCTGCTGCTGCCACCTGCGACTGGCACTGGGAGCCGAGCCCAGTGGAGGGAGGCAGAGCACAGCCCTGGCGCTGCACTCCGCTTCCCCCCACCAGGCTCAGTTCCACGGGGCTGGGAGCCACTGGGTGCTGAGTCCAGTGGAGGGAGGTAGAGTGGAGCCCCTGCGCTGTGCACTGTCTCCCTCCACCAGGCTCAGCTCCCAGCAACTCCAGCCCAATGGAACATGGCCTGGTGGTGGAAGGCAGAGCGCAGAGCCAGCTCTGCCCACTTCCTGCCACCAGGCTAGGCACCATGGGGCTAGTGCAGCTAACCAGAGCACAGCCCAGTGTCAGGAGGTGGGCAGAGCCGGCGCTGCGCTCTCATCAGCTCCACCAGCCCCATGGAGCACAGCCCGGCTATGGGAGGCGGGGAGAGCCAGGGCTGTGCTCCCCACCAGGCTGAGCCACATGGGGCTGCGGAGCCGCTCGGTGCACAGCCCTAGCTCTCCCCTGCCTCCTACTACTTGGCTGCTGCTTTGGAACTTGAAACATTTCAAAACTTTTGAAATGTTTCAACTGGTCTTGTTTTGTTTTGAGGCTGTTTCAAAGCCCTTCGTTTCATTTTGATTTTGCTGGTTCGAGCTCGAAATGAGTCCAAACAAAACAGCCGGTGAAACTTTGCACAGCCCTATTAAGCAGTGCTGCATATTCATAAAACAGCAAGTATCAGCTGAAAGAACGTTTTCAAACAAGAATATTTGCAGCCAATATTAAGCTATGAGGTTAATGCAGTAGCCTGGTATAAGGCTTAACCCAATAAAATAAAAATATCATATTTCTGTAGTTCCATAAGTTTTCCTGGCTTTTAACAAAAACAACACATGAACATAGGGCCAGACTGTTCCTG